ATCTTCATTCATCTCCTCGCGGGCATCACTTGCGCAGCACAGCATAGACCCCGCCAGACACCAACTCTTTCTTTTCTTTTTCGACCTCCGCTCGATTCGGGGAGGCTCCGGGGCTGCGGGGCGGCCCGGAACCTGCGCGCGGCGGCGGGGCCGGGCCGCCTCCCTCAGCGCCCAGCCATCTTGGGCTCCTGCGGCCGCGGCCCAGGCGGAGCGGCGGCCGGGGTCCGAGCGCGCTCACTCGAGGGTCCGGCAGCGTTCTCTCTCTCTCTCTCTCTCTCTCTCTCTCTCTCTCTCTCTCTCTCGAGCTGGCGGCCTCTCTCAAATTAGGAGAGAAGGGAGAAAATGCCAAGTCCCGATTTCTCTCCACCTCTGCTCCACCCACCCCGGTCCTTTCCAGAAAATAAAAAAAGATTAGAATTGGAAGAAGTCGGCAGAAAGGCGAACGGCGCCCCCCCCCCTCGCCCCCCGGCTGCTGCCCTGGCGACGCGTCCGGGGCGGGCCCGCGCCAGTCGCTCAGTCGGTGGGTCCGTTTGTCTGCCCGCAGCTTCTCAACTGCGGGGAGGGCACCGGGCAGGGTCTCCGCAACGGCTGTCGCCTCGGAGCTTTATCCTCAGATCAAAAAAAAAAAAAAAAGGATCTAAAACCCCGACACTCGCATCACAGCCACCTTCAGCCATCTTGCGCGTATTATTATTTTAGGAATAATCTGTTTAATAAAAATAGCTGTCTCTGGCCCCCTCCCCCGCATCCGGGGCTCCCCGGCCCCTTTTAATCATCGTCTCAATAATAAAACGATCCGCGGGCCGGGCCGTCCGCGGCGGCCCTTTCCTGCCTCGGCCCGCTCGGGCTCCGGCTCTCCGTCCCCCGGGAGGGAAGGGGGCGCGGTGGGGGGACTCGCCGCTAGGGCTCGGGAAGGGGTGCGTCCCTGCTGCCCGCCAGTTGGCCTCCGCCTCCGCGGGGAGGGAAGGGCGCCCTGGCTGCCACCGCGCTGTGGCGAGGAGGGCGGGCGGGCGGAGGAGGGGCCCCAGCTCGCGGGACCGGCTGGAGGGGCGCCCAGGGGTCCCGGCTCTTCCCACGACGGCCCGGCCTGGGAGTCCGCCGGCCGGCGGGGGCGGGGGGTACAATAGGCTCCCGGAGCCGCAGAGTGCAGGGGGCTGCGGGGAGCCGGACTCCGGAGCCGGGCGGAGAGGCGGAGGGTGGTGTTTCTACGGCACCGCCGGTCCCGCTACTCGGGAAGGGGCGGGGAGACGGGGAGGGGAGGCGAGGAGAAAGCGGCGGCGTGACCGCGGCGCCTTTAATCAGCACCCGCGGGCTCGGCCCACCCGGCGCAGGAGAAATAAATGGACAGGGGAGGGTGGGGCGGGGCGGGGCGGGGCGTTTTGTCCGGAAGTGCTGGTACAGCTGCGGAGGCGCCGCCCCGCCCCTTTTCCCTGTTTGGAGTTGGAGGCCGTTTCGGAGGACGCTCCTGCTATAGGGCCCCAAGCAGAAGCCCCGCCCCTTCAAGGCGGGGCAAACCAGAGCTCCTCACGTGACTTGTACTAACTTGGGTTCATTAAACATTGGATGGGAGGAGCCTTCCGAGCTTCTTAAAAGGGCGATGGTGACCACCTCTTCCTGGGCTTCGTCCCGCGTCGCTCTTTTTGCCTGAGAGGGAAAGGAGGGTTGCTAGCTCAGCTCTCTGATGCAATGAGCAGGTAATTGCAAAGGTTCACTGTGGGACAATTTTCTTATGTCCTCATCGCTTTAACCCCCATTTCTGACACTTAAAACTACTAAGCAAGATTGAATATTAATATTAATAATTTATATTAATAAAGAAACGGAGGCTTGCCCTAACTGGTTTGGCTCAGTGGATAGAGCCTCGGCCTGCGGACTGAAGGGTCCCAGGTTCGATTCCGGTCAAGGGCATGTACCTTGGTTGCGGGCACATCCCCAGTGGGAGGTGTGCAGGAGGCAGCTGATCGATGCTTCTCTCTCATCGATATTTCTAACTCTCTATCCCTCTTCCTTCCTCTCTGTAAAAAAATCACTAATAATATATTTAAAAAAAGAAACGGAGTCTTAAAGAACTGAAGTAATCTACCATAGGTTGATCAGTCAACAAATATTTAACAAAAGCCTTTATGTGCCAAGCATTTTTCTAGGACCTGGGGATTCCTCAGAGAACATGTACAAAAAAAATATATTTTTTATTAAATATGTAGGATAATTTCTGTGATAGTGAGGGGCTCACACACGGCTCTCAAAAAAAGTGGCATTTGAACTGAAAAATGCATGTTTAGGAGTCAAGCAAGTGAAAACCTACCTGGGGGAAGAGTGCTTTAGTCAGAGGAAAAACAAATGCAAAAGCAATAGATTAGACATGTTCTCGGGCAGAATGAAAGCTGTGTGGTGAGGGAGAGGACAGGTAGGGACTAGAACACACAGGGCCTTCCTTGTAGGTCATGGTAAGCAGTTTGAACTTGAAGCTGGTTGTGAGAAGCTCTCAGATTTGGGATATATTTTGGAAGTAGAGCTAATAGGACTAGATAAGGGTTAGATATGGGATGGAGAGGAATCAACATATAATACTAATGGAGTAGGAATGGGATCAAGATGTGCTTATCACTGTGCATATATATTTTTATGTGATATATATGTTTATATGTGTGTGTGTATATTATCCCAAAAATGTTTAAATTATTCCTTGGATTCCTAGGATTTGGGCCTCAACAAGAGGCTGAATGGTGGCCAAAACCGGTTTGGCTCAGTGGATAGAGCGTCGGCCTGCGGACTGAAAGGTCCCAGGTTCGATTCCGGTCAAGGGCATGTACCTGGGTTGCGGGCACATCCCCAGTGGGAGATGTGCAGGAGGCAGCTGATCGATGTCTCTCTCTCATCGATGTTTCTAACTCTCTATCTCTATCCTTTCCTCTCTGTAAAAAATCAATAAAATATATTTTTTAAAAAAAGAGGCTGAATGGTGGTGCCATTTACTGAGAAGAGAATGGAAGAGGGGTAGGTAGGTTTGGGTGGGGAGCTTTTCAGTAGTTGTCTAAGTCGATTCAGGTATCCCAGTAGAAATGTTGAGGAAGCGATGGTACATACAGACTCAGGGGGGAGGTTTGTGCTAGAGATTATTATGGATTTCAGAGTCATCAGCTATTACATTCTAAACAAGTTCAAATCCAGTTCAGTATGACCCATGGGTGCTGATTCTTCCATAAAACCAGAGGGCCTATCTGCTCCAGAATCTCTCTCTCCTTATTCCTGATGTGAGGGCTAATGTGGGCCCTTCAATGAGAGAGTCTGTGTCTTTAGCACTTGGCATCCCCTCACCAGCTGAACAGACGAAAAATGAATGCATGCATGTCTCAATGAACAAAAAAGGAGAAAATGGTTTGCAAGCCCTAGTCCTTAATTCCACATTCCAAAGATGGCACACAGAAATAACAAGGCCTAGCGTTGGCCCGGTGGCTCAGTTGGTTGGAGCATTGTCCTGACGCGCCAGGGTTGTAGGCTGGATCCCCAGCTTGTGCAGGAATCAACCAGTGGGTGAATGGATAGGTGGAACACCAAATCGATGTTTCTCTCTCAAAT